TCTGTAGAGTCATGCAAAGCTTAGACATAATTTTTCCATGGCAAACTAATGCTGAATATGTTAGAAAACAATTATTCATCTCCAAGTACTAGGGAGGTGGGAAGAGTGAAAAAAATGATTCATTTAGAGCACCACGCCCCACATTTGCAAACTTATATCCAATTCAGATATTTCAGCCAGCTGCTAATCAGGCTTCAGAAAATGTACATTCTGTCCTGTCCTGAACATGTTAACCCTAGCGGTGCTACCTCTGTCTGTATGTCGGGATGAGGAAAACACTGAACACCGTAAGAGGTAAAATACTAACATAATTTAAAACTGCTTTTTAGGACCGTATCTGTCATCTCATATTAATGGCACAAGTGAAAGGAATATCTTTTTATAGGCCCAAACCAACTGCTAGCCCCATGAAAGGAAAATGTTCCCTTAAATAAAGACAAACATTTGTGTAACAAGGTCAGCGGGAAGAAGTCTCAGACTCCGCTCACAGCAGTCCTAGGCAAGTTGTAAGAACTGGAGGGAAGAGGTTTCTTGCCAACAGCAACTCTTGTTTACTGCCAAGCTGGCAAATACCCTATCTTCCCCGGGATCTCTTGGGTGTGGGAAACTAGTCATAGCAGGGTCACATCAAATCAAATGGCAGGCTTAGCTTTTGTATGGGGTACAGTTTAGAGCTGCTCGATGTGCGAGTACCTTTCACTCTTCTGCAGGGCAGGAATTCTCTGGGAGTCCTCAGTGGCTGTTTTAATGGTGGCCTTTAGGGACCATTCTGGACCTTCTGGCTTGGACATGTGAATCAAGTTACAGAACAGAGTAAAGTTGTGTGATCACCTTAACTTATCCCAAGGAAGACTTTTCAAGTCTCCCAGATTCATGTGCTGCTAGGATCTCTTGTAGGACAGATGCTAGATATCTTTTGAGTCTTCTGTTTATAGTAAAAGAAGAGGGATTATCAGGCATCAGAGTGTCCTAGAGGTTTAATATACACTGTAGCATCTTATGAGGGGAAGAGAGGAAGAAAAGATCCTACTCCTGCTCTGGGTGGAAGACATAAAAGGAAACAAAATAAAATTGGCAGAATAGCCTACCTCCCTGTTTTAGGGTTTTGAGATTTTTTTTTTTTTTGGAAAAATGGGGTTTATAAGTATTTGTACTTATACAGGCTAGAGAATGACTGAATTTACATCTGCACCGGAAGCTGAACTAATGTATTGTTAAAGAAGGTGGTGGGGGGGGATATCCCATTAGTCTATGAAGCTGTGTTTCTCCTTCTGCATCTCCAGGTGGATCTCCAAATGGTAAAGCCGCAGTGCTAAATGTTAATAGCACAGCTCTCTGGAAACAGTGCCATTGAGGAAATTAAAGACTATCACATTAGGAGTGTTACTGCAAGCTTTGCAATTCTCAGGCTACCCAAATAATTTAAATTATACCTAGTGAGAAGGTCTTTTCTTCTGTCCTCTGTGGGAGTGGTGTTTTGTGGAAGCCTAAGATATGGAATGAAATTTAGTCCGGCACCTTAGGCACCTGAATTGTGCCTAAATGTTAGATGCATTAGTGAAACAGTCTTCCTGAAGTAAGCACCTAAGATCTATCTGTGGTCTACAGAGAGAGGAAGATGCTTTAGAAGACCTCTGGAGGGAGATCTTATCCACCTCTGAAGCAGGCAGCTCAGCTTTTCCTATGGGTACTTCAGAAACACTTATCTCTACTAAAGAGGACTGCTTCCTTGGCTACTGATGATCAGGCACCAGTTCAGGGTCTAAGCTAGCTGGACAACATCCTGACCATACTTATTCAAAAAAAAAAGGCCAACTTAAGGAGGCTGTTTATTCTCCACTTTGTCCGATTTGAGCAAACCTTGGTAATCAGCCCTGCTTTGTCATTGTAAGCTGAACACCTTACTGTCCTTAAAATCATCGGTGATGGTATTTTTTTTTTTTTTACCTTTAAGAAGGAATTATTAGAGGGAAAAAAATCTTTCTATTAGGATGTGCTGAATAATTTGGATCCCACCTGTTGCTGTTAACAAGCGTCTATTAGTCAAGGTACTATTTCCCCAAACAAAGGTGTGAATATTTGCCTGTGCTTTTATGCAAACAGAAGACTTAATGCCTATTCTGATTTTAACAAAGCGTAGAACAAAGGAAAACAAACATCACAGGATTCTCAAAAGATATTTTTAGAAATGTAACACATTGTTTGGAGATATGAACAAATGAACTAGCTCTTCAAACAGATACCTGTGATAGCTTCTCTTAAAAGCTGCATAGCCTATGCATAGCCCCATCCCCCAAGATAAGCAAGCAGTAGGTCTTTTTCTCCGTGAATAGTGAGGAAGTTGAGGCATCAAGAAGTTAGTGATATAAGAATTGTCTGCAATCACACCAGCTGGTAGAAGAGCAGAAAGAAATGTCTACTAATCTTAATACTGGCTGTTAAAGCATTATCATCACCAATAATTAAGTGAGTAACATTTCCAGAGAAGTGTCTTGTGAGAAATTTATGCTACTCCAAACACAAAAGCCTATGTAACTAGAGAAAGCATGTAATTATACTAAAGCCAGAGGAACCAGTACAATTATCTATTATGCCTTCCTATTATATGCCCCTAGAAAATTACCTGCCTAGAATCACCTATATAATGAGTGACCGGTCAAGTTTATTATGTAGCTTTTTAAAATTATTTTTGTAATTTTTTTAAAGGTGAACAATTGAGGCAAGAGCAATAATTTGTATTTCACCTAGACAGTGAAAATTTACCGGACAAATCTAGCATCAGAACAAATTACAAATTAACTCAGATTCTGAAAGGTTTCATATTGACTTTTTCAAAGTTTTGTCCCAGCTCTCCGCTATCCTTGGAGTTTCAGCTACAGGATCACAGAAGACAGAGCTCAGAGACTTATTAAATCATCTGTTCTATCTTTTTGATTTTAGAGGAGGCAAGTGGTGTCACTATCCCCTTTGACCCAGGTTTCTGACTTAATCCATAAACTGATTTAAATGGACATTTCTCCATGCTCAGTCCAGTTTACTTTACCAAAAAATCCTCAAAAGCCTAACTGCCCAAACCTCACAAAGTCAAGATATTAACAGCAAAAAATAATTATTAAGGCAGCTGAAAGGGCACCCTACATTTTAAAGCAATAATTGCTCTAATATGGATTAAATGGGCCTAGGCTGTACAAGTATATAATGGTATTATATATTGCTGTGGAGGCACTCCAAGAATCACAGAGCTCTTAAAAGCTTCAAAATAGAGTACATATATTTCAGACTGGAGATAGCATAATAGGTAAGGTAAATTGACAAATACAAAAAAGATAGATAGACAGAAGAGTGGAAAGGATAAACCAGGGTCTGGATCAGTTCTGTATAACAGAGATTAAAATAGACAAGACTGTGGAAGAAAGCACGACTGAAGGGGCGTATGAGAGAGCTCTATAAAAAACATGGTCACCCTTGGAACAGTTATTATTTGCTGGTCCTCACAGTCATAAGAACAAGAAAGCACCAAATGAAATTAACAGGTAGTAGTTTAAAACAAACAAAAGGGAGTAATTTTTCACAAAGTGCACAATTAAGCTGTAGAATTTATTGCTATGGGAAACTAGATGTCAGAAGTTTAGGTGAGTTCAGGAAGTCACTTCAAAAAATGGTCAGGCATATTAATGAGAGAAAATTCCATCAAGGGCTATAAAACACACAGATGTAACCTCCAGGTCAGGAAATCCCTAAGCTGCAGATTGCCAGAAGTTGTGAGAAGTATTGCTGGGGGAAGGACATGGATGCCCAGTTCTTTTATCCTTTCTTTGTAGCATCTGCTACAGGTCATGTCCAGAACTAGGATACAGAGCTAAGTGGACCTTTGGTTTGTAACAGATTAGCTGCTCTTACATACACCCTTGTCACAAAGTAGAAGACAACAGTGGCAAAAACTCCTCCCTTTTCTTTCCGTTTAAGACACTTTCACTCCTTTTCTGCATGGAATGAACACATTGCAAAGTATCTTTGTGGAATCATGACCACTCGCTCGTCCTTCTTCCAAATATCCTCTGCCTCCAGGTGAAATTGGAAGCAACAGATCCGGCAGGTCCACCCTGGTACTACTTCTGCCTCCAGGATGTGGCAAGGCAAATTCATGGAAAGAGCTGCTCATTTCAGTGTTCAGTGTTTGGGCAAAGAGCATCCGATTTTAGATTGGGGCCAAATGGCTGACTGAAGTGAAAGTAACACAGATTTATACAGGAGTGATCACTCTAAAAAGACCAAACTGTGTATGTAAGAGGATGCAGAGGGTACATGTCAATTATTTTATGTTTCAACACTAAGTGTGTTCATTAAAATAAGAAATAAAGACTTGCTGCCTCTGAAGGTGATGAGAATTTAAAGCTCTTTCTGAAACCAGTTTAAATTCTTTAACTTTCCAAGACACCTCTTTGTTTAAGAAGAGATAAGCAGTCACAGTTCTCTAGCCTTTTTTCCACTAAAATTATACTTTACCAGCTAAAAGATGATGTGGAATTTAAATTTAATTATGATCTCAGATTTGCAGCATGTATCTTACTTAACAACTACGTAAAAGAACAGGTGACCATATATTCACATTTATGACCTCTCTCCTTCCTGAATGCAGAGAACAGCAATATAAAAAGATAAAACAATAAAAACAGCAGGGAAAAATATTCTGAATGCAAAACATAAAATATTCAATATCAAGTCTCTCACACATATTGGTTTTATGACTGAAAGTTTCTCATTTAGTTATGGTTTAAGTAAGGTAAAGATAGCTTGAATTTACTCTTGTTTCCTCTTCCCCCTCACAACATACTCAATTAAATCAGGGAATGTTTAGTAAAGTTTTTGTCTGAAATGTTAAAATGTGCCTCTCGGGAGTAATCCTCTCCCAGAAGTTTGTATGTTCCCAGTAGCTGGCCCTTTCCTTTCTCGTTGTTTACCTGCGTTGGATATGGAAGCAAATAGACTACATGACATACCATGAACAGCTGCAGCAACAGCACCAACAAAAGCAACATGTGTTGTTGGGCCTTTGGTTTCCGGGTGCTTGAGACACAGCTGACGTTCCTTCGTTTTGTGATTGCTGCCTCTTTCTCATTTCAGCTACTTCAGTGCCCAAGCGGCTATAAGAACACAGACATAAGAGATGTACAGAATTACTACAGACAGTCAGAAAGTACATTCACATTTCTACAGTAATGTCTAATTCTACTAATTCTCCCAGCTTGTGGCAACAAAAGCACGTGACCAGCAACTGTGCTGGCTAAATAATAGTTCTATTGTGATCAAAACAGTTTCTGGAAGACCACAGTCTAGTAACAAGCTTTTGCCACAGTGCCTCAGAATCACAGCTATTCTAATCACTTTGACTGGACTAAAACAACTGTTTATTACCCTTCCGAATAACAAGCTACACAGCTTATGAAGCACTTGGTACAGACTGAGTTGTTAATTGCCATATGACTATCACAACTTTTTCCATTGCACTAAAAATATGGTAAGATGGTTATTCACTTTGAGATGAGAAGTGGTCTTTTTTGCTTTAAGTAGTGACTTCGCTGGTTGATGTTGGACCAATGAAACTGATATAAGTGATATAAAAGTCAGGGCCAGTAATCGCTGTATGCTAACGATGAGCCAAGATTATAATAAATGTCATAACTGGGAGTTTTGTTACTTGACAGTTATTTTCTGTAAATTCAAGGAATAATAAATATGTAATTCCAAAATACTTTTCCAACTTTGGGACTATTTTCTGGCCACAGATTTTATTTTGCTCGTTGCCAGTCTTTCCTAGGTTTTATTAGGCCAAGACATTTTTCTTTCCAGCAACTTTCAATGTGCAGCTGGAAGTAATATTCTATGCATTACTTAAAGTTTTCAAAAGAAGTTAAAACGTTCATTGCTAAGTTATTTAGGAAGGTTTAGAAGTCAGGATTCTTCTAATGGTGCACATCTTCTTTGTGCAACAACTCTCAGTTTCCCCAGAGCAACAGTTATTACAAGCATATGTAAATTAGAATTAATTTAGTACTTTTGCCTCTGAAAAATGTCTAAATAGCTTACTATAGAAAGCAGCCCAGTTTTAAACAGAGGTTGGTAGAAGAGATCTGAGTGTGAGCAGCATGCACTCTCCTGTGCACCCTCCCAGGCATCGTGCTGCAGCCAGGAGTGCTGGGGAAAGGCAGGCTCTGGTTCATTTGCAGCCTGGATACTAAATGGATATTTACTAAAAGGATGCACCTGAGAGATGGGTGTACACAGTTGATATGCATTCAAGCTGCAGCTGTAAAAGTTTGGATTTACATGACCCGTAAAACTCCTGAAGTTCTTTTCCTGTAACAGTATCTTCATACATAGTTTATGCACAGCCACATATAACAAGAATACTAAGCTTCAGCACTCCAACTCATGCTGCAAATCTCAGGGTCAGTGGTAGTTTCGGCTTCTTGTGTAGTTAGCTGACTTTTCTGGTTTCTTCAGTGTACACAGTCACTGAATAGAATCAATTAATTTCTGAAGTGTTTGATCAAGTTAAACAACGAATAACCACTTTATGATGGTTTTAAGTGGAATGATCTGGATCTAAGTGGAATCAACCCTCCTCACTTCTACTGCTCAGCTAGATTTTCAGATGTTAACTACCTGTGATGAGAATACCTGCTAACGCTGTTGATGTTACTTTTTATGGTTTATACTTGCTGAACTCTTGAAAAATAAAATGACTTTTTGTTAAATGAAAAAAATCTTCACTTTTCTATCAACAGTAAACACGTGTTGTTAACACTGGATACTTTGACATAATTGAAAGAATACCCTTATTTTTACAAGAGAGGAAGGAAAGGAAAAGCATTGCAGCATAATATGTAGCTCAAACAGTGACAGTATGGAATCACTTTCTCCAAATTACAGCACTGAACTTTGCTGACTATGCTCGATGCAGTTAAATTATTTCATAGATAGCTGTGTCATGCTGTGAATGGTATTTGCTTCAGCAGGTGCAATGACTATGGGTAAAGGAATGAAAGTGAGATACTGTGACAGGGAAGGTTTGCTACTTGTAAGACAGAGATTCTAGAGACATTTGTATACAACCATAAAATTTAATAGTCTCAGAAACCAGTGAGGTTACTCATAGTTAGGTGTTTGTAGAACTGGAATCTCGATCTTTCAAGAAACACTGAGCTGTTATGTTATCAATTGAATTTTACAGAATCAAAACAACCTATATGTTCCACCTGTGTACCTAAAACCATGCATTTCTTACACTATTTTAGCTACTTATATAAAATGTACTATTACCATTATTAAAAAATTGCTAGAATCTGTTGTACTGTAAACACAAGGTGGCAGGATAATGGTCATACATACTGACATAATGAAAACCTTTGATAACTTTGTTGTAGTTTTGCAATAGCTCTAAACCAGTATAAGCTGTCACTGTACCTGAAAGAAACGGTTCTCTCTCGCTTTTCTCCCTCCGCAGTCACTCATTACCTCACTTGTGCTGCCCCCATCTCTGCTTTGCTGGCAGCAGTATTTAGGTAGGTACTTGGTGAATTGGATAAGAGAATTGACATCATTTAAAACTAATCCAGAGGGTTAAAAAAAGAAATTGATTTTACCTGGGTTCAAGTTCCAGTCTAGTTGGCCCTGGGAAGACATACAAACTTGGGCCAGAGCAAGGGAAGAAACAGAACAGTAGCACCGTTATACAGGTAGGACACAGGAGAGCAGGGACAACTTTTTTCAGTCACTGCTTAAACTGGTATGAAGTGATGATGAAGATGATGGGAGCTGCTCAGCTTTTAAAGGCCAAATCTGTCACTGCAATTCTCAATACAGAGCACAGGGCATATCCTGGGGCAGAGTCAGAGGCGTGATTTCATAGGAGTGGCCCATGTCTTCAGCCCTGCCCAACAGCTTTTGGAACTCACCATTCCCTGGCCGTTCACCTTTTGTCATGGACAGCAATGGCCAACCATTTCAGAGGCTGGCAAGTCTGTCAACATAGGTCACCAAAAGAAGTTGTGGGGAATGCGGGTCTGCATTGCAGAGCATTTCAGGAGGCATGGTTTCCTCCAAGACTGCTAGAGCCCACAGGCTAGCCAGTCTTTAGAGTGGCACTACTCACTTCCCTGTGCTCTGGCTCTGCTCTGGAGTGTGTGGAGGGGCTTGGCCCATGCCTTTACTGACAATGCATTCTTTGGAGGAGGAGGAAAAGTGCAGTCCTTAATTACAGGTATAGCTATAGCTACATTTATCTAGGCTATATTTGATGAGGAGAAAAAAAAAAACACCCAAACTGTGTACTTACTTCCATGGATAGTTTGAATGCTAGCCCTAATGCCATGTTTGGCTAATTGAGGCTAAAAGATATTTATGTTTAATATGATGCCAGAATAGAGCTGTAGGTGCTTATATTTAGAAGTGGGTTGATAACATGGGTAGATTGCACATACTGTGTAGTGGAACTACACTTATCTTCCCTATATAGCGGGCAAAGATCTTACTGGCACAGTTGGACAGAGTTCTATACAATCCATTGCAGGTCCATATTCTGTCTTTTTCCACAACTGAAGCTGATGTTCGGTCTGAACCTAGCTGTATCTGACAACGCCAACTATTATCCAGTTTGGCATGACAGGCAACCTGCTCAAAAAAGTGCAAGACTGGAAATCCAAGAAATGAGATGGTATTTTCAGTAAATATGTGAACAGTGTTCACTCATCTGGCTTAACCATTGGCTGAAGTCAAAGTTATCAGCCCTTTTCTTTTGCTAGTATTAAATTCTATTGGAGAGCTTCTCAGCTGAAGTCTACAAAAAATATGAAAAATACATCCTGTGGTACAAAACAGAAATGTTTACTGAGGATGAAGTAGGATGGGTGGTTACTTTAGTTCCATGTTTAGTTTGGTTGGATTTCATGTTTCATGTTGCATTTGCAGATATTAGACATCATCCATGCAAAACTCTTACTGATTCCATGAGATTATTTATAGTGTAGGAACAGGATTATATTAACTCTTGGCTATATTTAGGGCCTGAACTGTAGGCAGAGGTTTTGTATCTGGTGTCTTGGTCTGAGGTATGACAAAGAAATTTAAAATCTTTAACTCAGCAAGTCAGTCTGATGAGATAAATTACTTTGCTGGAACTAAGTGTAAAAGTTAGTACATAACTGCGAAGGAGTAGAATATTGTGAACTGATATTAAGCAGACCTTCTAGGACGGTGGTACAAACTGAGTCTCCTGTTGCCAAGAATTGTGTTTGCCCTTTAGCTTTTTGAACATTTTCATTCTTCCTGAGATCATCTAGCTTGGCAATATTTGGTGGTGAAGGAGTGGGTCTTTGTCCAACAGAAGTAATATCCTTCGTATTCTAGATGATGTCTCAGACCATCACACCATAGGTTT